TAAAAATATTTCATTGATGACACACGTGTATTCTTTTGATGTCCCAACTGTAAATTATCAAACTTGGTCTAATAGCGTTAACCTTTTTAACACACAATATTTCAATATCATTCTCCCCGGTTTATTTTATTCTGAAGTGAAATAATAGCTCGAGGCCGATGAGAAATCGATACCCGTCATTAGTGAGATATGTTAATAGTGGATAAACGGAAGCGAAACCTAATTGAAGTAACTACCTGTACAACGTGACAGGTTGTTTTACTCTCGACTCGATAGCCTTTTGTCCTAAATGAGTTATTCAATAATCATCAGCGATGGGAATGGCAGCAGAACTCCGGTACGGCGTCTATAAATAGCAATAATTAGTCGAAAGTCTGTTTCAATTAATATGGTGATGAAGTTGCTACGCGTGCAGTTGATTAAACTGATGTGCAACGAAGGGTGGAGGATGCAGAAAATGTACACGAAAATGAAATGTTCAATTGAAGAAGAGATACCTTGGATATTCTTTTAACCAATCAACGAACCTGATGATTTCTGACATGAATATGAACGTGAAAATTCAATAAAAACGGTTTTCCACACACCAGAACAAGAACACTGTTCGTTTCGCTAACCAAGTTATCATAATCAGAAGAAAACCGATTTAGGCATATCGTGATGTTTCAAGAAGATTTTTTTACATTACAGATTTTTTTTCTGGTGTTCCTTTGAATTTGCTCCAATTATCTGCCTGGAAGAAAATATGATGTAGAACTCCACTGCCATTTCTTTATTTTGGAAGAAATCCTAAGGAATGCCACTGCTTCATATCAACAAGGAGTCTGGGCCTGATGAACCGCCCGTCATCGTACTGAAAAAGTGCGCCAATGAACTCATACCAGAACCTTGCAGACTTTTCAATATGTCTTACAAGGAAGGGGTTTTTCTTTCTTGTTGGGGAATTGCTCGTTGTCAGCCTATACCCAATAAGGGCAACAAAAATCTTCCAAACAACTATAGACCAGTCGTTTTGCGATTAGTGATATCAAAAATCATGGAGAAAGCCGTGAACCACTATGTCCTTGAATATTTGGAAGGCTTCAACATCTTCAGCGATCGTCATCATGGAAACAAAGATCAACAGGCGATTTTCTATCATATGTCACCCATATTTGGAAAGACACGATCGAAACACATGGGGGTCGAGAACTGTTGCGCTTTATAAGGTCTTTGATCATGTGTCCAACTTCCAGAAAGAACGTTTCCTGCAAGTGGCCGTCGATGGATATCTCTCGAATACTTTTACTATCAACGCTAGTTTTCCCCAGGAAGCCATATTGTCTCCAACCTTTTTTTCATTGTATATCAACGATTTATTGAAAAAAACAAGTATCCGATATATTGCTGACGACAGCACACTTGTCTAGTCATTCCATTTGGATTCCAGGATATCGGCTACGGAGGAACATCTTCACCGGCAGCAGGAGGTTGCATATCTTAATGAGGATCTAGAGGCGATTTCGAATTGGGGTGAAAGTTGTAACAACCTCGATCTTAGTGAAAAAGGGTGTTACATTCTTTAAGCTGGAATTTGAAGTATACTTTTGGGTTACAGTGATAAGGTAAATAACCTTAGTTGGTCACAAACGTATGAACTCATCACGGTTTTCCCTTCAGCATCCAAGTTGTTGTACCTTACTTGTCATGGAGTGTACGAATAGCCAAGTCGAACTATCAGCAATACAATATAGGTTCTTCACAAGTGGTTTAGCCAAACAGTAGCACTAATTCCAAAAGATAGCCTGCTCCTGGAGTGGTATAAATGTCACCCTTCCAACAATGCTGACATTACTGGATGATTTCTGTTGTAGGCTCCCGAAGGCAGAATAAGAAAGATTGAGGGTGAAAATAAAAAGACCGTAGATAAAGGATGGCCTTACTAGATTAGATTGTGAAAACCGAGGTATTTTACAAATATCCTCAAAACAGTGGGTTATACCTTCAGATAACAATTAATAATATTTACTTGTGTTTTCTATTGTGGTTCCTAGAATCCACAAATGTGTTGAGCTGAAACATTTGCTCAGAAAAAAATTATCCAAATTTCTCTTGATAAGAATGAAAAGCGAACCTTTTTTTCTTTGAAGATAAGGAATTTTGCTTCAAGGTCGAGCTTATATGATTAGCCTAAAGAACATGGAATTTGACAAAAAGAAATGATCAACTGAAGGAATGAATATTTTTACAGGGTGATTGCTATGAATTTATTATACTTATTATCCGTATTGGATGTATTTCAATTATTGGTATATATTCTGTGTAATAGTAGAATGAATATACTGAAATAATGAACGTGTGTTGGTATTTTAATTTGACATCGCTTCTCTCCAAAAAGATAAATGTCTCCGAACTGGATATAATAATGTCAGGATAAACAATTCCGCTTGCTGTTTCGATACCTTTGTTGGGGATTAAAATGGACACCAAAATGTTTATGCACAATCATGTCACTGGAGTTGCAAAGGCTGCTTCTCAAAAGCTTGGAGCACTGTTGCGAACCAGAAAACTGTGCACACCTCAGCAACTTTTAATGCAAAAAATTGAAGAATGGAATTAAGGATTCTGACATCATTTAATAAAGGAAATCCCTTGAACTCCCCAAGAAACAAATTTTCTGTGTAAAAAAAACTTGTATGAGACCTTATTCATACCACATAACCTTCGTTGGGAGATCCTTACCAGCAATTGGTCAGTGAAACGAAAAATATGTATTTTTAATCCAAATTTATTGTATCGCCATTTAAGTAGATCCGTTTCGAAATAATACACTTACGCCATTTTTTGGAATTGACTTCAGTACTCCTTGCAAATTCTCTTTCATGCAATCTTTCAACTGAAAACGTGTGCTTCGAAGTGGAAATGTGAGACTTGGAAAAAAGTCCACCGGACCCATATCAGGTTAATACGATGGCTGTTCGATAAGATTTGTTCAATTTTCGGCCAGAAATTTGTTCACAATGATACATTGGATATCCCCCCCTGCTATTATAGTGAATAATGTAAACAAACTAAATGAGGGATGGCGCTCAAACTCCACGTGAGTATAGAGGACAGTGATGCCAACCTAGCTACCAAAATAATTTTGACCATCCCTTAACGCGGGTTTTTCAAATGACCAATTCCCGGTACTTTCTTGATAGAATGGTCGCGTTGCACTGCTGTGTTGAGAATTCGTTTTCAACATACCGATTTATTGTTATCTATTATTTGCTTCTTCTGTAGACTACGTTTTCTACAGTTTTTCTCGTTCGATATTTATAATTCACTTACTTATATTTCCAAACGGTGCCTCAGTTTTTCTTCCGGAACAGTAAAATCGTCCTGGTAACATCTTCGAGGTAAATTCGATTTCCACATTCATTTTATTTATTTTCATGGCAGTAAAGTTTATGGCACGTTATATATAACCCGGGGAAACGTGAAACATTTATCATGTGTAATGTATCTTTAATGGAAAATAAGTGGATTTTTTAGGCGTGTTCTCTTGTTTGTTCACGATCAATTTGAAGTACATTTTACTACGTCGTCTGTATGGTTTGGGTGCATGAAATTGATGTTTTAATAGTCATTTGTTACTTACTGTCTTGTTGACCTTTTGTAATTCGTTCGAGCATACCAGTTTTTCATAATTTTGAAATTCCACAAGGAATGCAAGTGTTCATGGAGTCGAAAATAACAATTTGTTTAAATCATTATATATTATAAAACAATATTTCTTCACCTTTAACAAATCATTCTTAGATTTGATAAACATGTTTTCACCATAGGGCGACATCTAGGTTTAATAATCCGAACGTCAAAGTCGAGGAAAACATTCAAATAGTCACAAACATTATACAGAGATACCTCTACTAGATACCTGCGTCTTAATTGTCTCAAATTAGTTTTACAATGTTGCCTCATCTACTAGTCGTAAATCAATTTTGTAATGTTGTCTTATCTATTTCATCAGTTGGGACTTCCATTGTTATCCAATTGTATACCGCAGTAGTTAACGCAACGTTAGTCATAAAAACCTACAGACCACGGCCAAACAAAACGACAGATAGCTTCTACACAATTTGGATTGTTTCAATCCTGTATTTTCAGTGTTTTCAATAATTTAGTTCATGATTAAAACTCAACCAGCTCTCAAAATATAAAAAGACACAGAATTCATTTCCTGTTTCATCGGTTCCCTTCTAATTAAATTCAGATATGAATAATGGCCACTGTTCCAAGGATTATTCCATAAAGAAAACCGACAGTCTGAATCATAGTTCGTTTTCTTTAAAAAATCTCAACACTTTTAGAATCTATTTCTGACACGATCTTATGCCTTCTCATGATTTATTTTTTCCACTCGCTTTGAAAGGAATGAAATATTAACCGTGGGTTCAAGAACGAAGAACGAAAACTGGTCTCTGTGTAATTACGCTACTTTTATCTACCGAATGCCAATATTCAAGGATTGATTGGCGATTTTAATTAAATAAATTCATAATCTAGGTATCAAGTGTAATTTATAGCCGGAGTGATTAATAGGAGATGTTGAAATGTGATTGACAGTTGCGTTAGCTTTGATGGGTTGCTCTAAAAATCATCATTATCGATAAAATACTTTTGAATGCTTTTTGAAGGAAGCTGTAAACATATTCACAATATCTCTACTTCTATATTTCTTTGTTAACCTTTCACACCAACCAATTGAGAATAAAAACCTCTCTCGTCACTTATTTTAGATTCGTTGTTATTGAATCTCCAACCTTTGCCCTTGGAGAAGATTGCATACGATTTCGCTGTTTTGGCACACGCAACCAAATAAACACGGATTGTTTCAGTGGCAATTTCAACGAAAAAGTGACATGATGTGAACATCTGGTGAATCGTCGCGTGTAACATGTGACCGTGCAAAACTTCCATTCTGATAAAAAACAGTGAACTCTTCTAGTGAGTGCTGTGACTTTCCCGGCCCGTAACAAAACGTCATACTGGCGGGCGCGGACCTAACTTTGGAAAATGGCGGCGGTGACGACAAGAGCTGCCTCACAACCTACATCTTCAACCCGGTTGATACCTGCACCGGCACCCCGAGTCCCGAGAAGCTCCTGCTGAGGACACCGGAGTCGGGCCCGAAACTGGGGCCGGGTAAAGATGTCGTTCCCGCCGCCGAAACACACATGCACCCGAATTTCCTCTACGGGAAGATCCTAGCTGATGGACGGCCGAATTTTCTCACCGATTACGAGGTGAGTTACAAGAATTGTAACTTCGAAGGGGTGGACCATGGCAAGTGCTGCGTCGGCGGACATTTCGGAGGGTAAGTACGCGGGTCGGGAATTCGTGTGTGAGGCAGAGAAATGATTGAGGGATTCCCCTGGCATCAAATGGTGCGTTTAACTTCATAAAATTTCTCTCAAATAATAAAAAGTATTTCACTCTCTCAAATGTTACTATAACTTGTTTTGTTTACGGAACCAGTCATCTAACTAATCTGCTCTGCGGACGAATACTCCAGTATATTCGTCATCGACTCTTCAGGCCATCGTTGCTAGCCTTTAGATTATTGTTTTGCTACATACGTTGCTATCGTGACGCAAAGTCGCTATACGTTATCGGATCATTGATCCTAGTGACGTACTGATTGACGTAGGCTTCTCTCCAAGTTACCTTTTGCTGAGTAACTCGCCTGACGTAACCAATTGGTAAGATCATCATCATCACAGGAAATTACACTACTCATCTATGTCACTGTAGTATATTTGCCAAACACGTTCCAAGGATCTGTTGATATCGAATTATTTCCGACTTGACCCCATGGAGTTGGCCAAACACATCTGTGATGACGCATCCTCTACAGACCATCAATATGCCATAGCAGAGAAATGAGGAATTTCACTAAGCTCAACAATCCTCGACAATCAGGTCGAATTTCCTCGTTTTGCAAGCTTCAGACCAATTTCAGATCATCATCTTTCTTCTCGCTTTCTCTTATTTGTTGTCCATGGGTGTGTTGCTTTAGAATCTTCATCGATTTCAGTATCTAAATGTCTTGCTGTCCATTTATCGTTGGAGGGCCTTGTTTTCTTTCTGGGTTGATAATCTGTTCATTCTCTTTGATGTTGGCGACCTATATATCTCCTTGGTCCTCAACGACCGATAATTCATCTCAGATGTTGGCTGACTAGGTTGACTATGTCTTCTTTTAGTTGTTGGCGATCTTTCGTCTCTGCACCAACTGAACCTAACACATTATAACAAATGCACCATTCTTGAAGACCTGCAGCCAATCAAATGAAGGTCTGTTGAATTGTTTCTGACTTGATCCCATGGAGTTGACCAAACACATCTGTGATGACGCATCCTCTAGACGCTGCCAATCAGGTCGAATTTCCTCGTTTTGCCAGCTTCAAACCAATTTCAAATCATCACCTTTCTTCTCGCTTTCTCTCATCTGTTGTCTATGGGTCTATTGCTTCAGAATCCGATCTAACGGTTGTGTCACTTCATGTGTTACTGTCCGTTTGTAGTTGGAGGACCTTGTTTTCTTTCTGGGTTGATAATCTGTTTCTCCTCTTTGGTGTTGGTGACCTATATATTTCCTTGGTCCTTCACGATCGATGATTCGTCTCTGATGTTGGCCGACTATGTCTTCTTTTAGTTGTTGGCAATCTTTCGTCTCTACATCCACTGAACCTAATACATTATGTCAAATGCACAATTCTTTAAGACTTGCAGCCAATCAGATCAAGGTCTATTGAATTGTTTCTGACTTGACCCATGGAGTTGATCAAACACATCTGTGATGACGCATTTTCTAGACTAGACCGTCAATATGCCATAGCGGAGAAATAAGGAATTCCAATAAGATCAACAATCCTAGAGAATCGCACTGTACCTGGAGGTTCGCTGCCAATCAGGTCGAATATCCCCGTTTTGCCAGCTTGAAACCAATTTCAGATCATCGCCTTTCTTCTTGCTTTTTCTCATCTGTTGTCTGTATGGGTCTATTGCTTTAGAATCCGATCTAACTGTTGCTGAATTTCTTTATCGATCTCAGTAACTTCATGTTCATTTTTTGGGTTGATAATCTGTTCCTCCTCTTTGGTGTTGGTGACTTAAATATTTCCTTGGTCCTTAACGACCTATGATTCGTCTCTAATGTTGACCTGTAGCCAATCAGATCAAGCTCTGTTGTTGAACCAGCTTCACATATTTTTCCATATCTCGTTCCTGGTCCACAGGTTGAGTTCTTTGAAATTCGAATTTAGTATGGTGGCATGTATCGGTTATCCAATGTTTCTTCTTTATTCGTAATATCATGGTCTAAATCAATTATTTCATTGGGGAGTCATCTCTCTCTAACCATTATAAAGGTACAGGTTCTTTTTCTATGACACTGCAACCTGTCATTAACTCGTTTTCTATTTTTCCCAGTCTGCCGATTGACATATGTTTTATTTCCTGAACTTCTTTGGCCTCATTTCGAACCACTCATTAGTTAGAAGTCATTTTTTTTCCAGACTTTGACTAATATCGTTCAGTTTTTGGACCGTTTCTCTAGCTGTTCTTCCTTCCTTTTTTTGCTTTTCGTTGCGAAATATGTCTTCCTTCTTTTTTCTCTTCTTTGTTTCTCCCGTTCTTTCGTTCTTATCTTCTCTAGTTCTTTCTGCTATTTTTTCTCTCCATTCCAAGGTCTTACTCACTTTTCTATACTCTGGTAGGTCCTCTGCTCATAGTTTCAATATCTGTTGATACTTTTCTGGCATACAACAAAAAATATTTTTAGTAGCTGAACGGTATTATGTTTTGCACCCATACCACTATTATAGGTAAGAAAGCATGTGTCTCTCGTACATTTCTGTGCCTCCAATCGATTCCTCACTAACCCACTATATTACGTTCATTTGAATCGTAGAGACCTGACTTTCGGCCACCTGTACACCATCAGCAAAAACGACCGCACTGAAGAACGCACCTACGACGAGCCGTACGCCGGTGACTTACCTAGGAGGTCATGGCTCTGCTGTCCAGGATCGCAGCAGCACGTGGATTGCGAGCAGCCGCCTCTGCTGGATACGGCAACGGCGTCCACCAAATCTCCGACTACGCCTAAATCGACGGAGGCCATCACTACGGCGCCGGGTCTACACGTTTGTTCTGGAGCTTGTGTACGTATTAGTTGTGTTGTATGAGTTCAGAAACGGAAGAGACTACTTCATGTACCTTCAGTTATGTATTTTTCACTTGTTTCGGTACTGAACTACATTCATCACCAAGGCAAACTCAAGATTCGTGACTCGAATCTGCAGTTTGTAGTTGTACAAAAGTCGATAACTACGAACTCAATGTAGAATTTCTAACGAAATGATAAAAAGTGTCAGACTACATTTCTGAATCAACCGAAAACGTTATTTTATTCCAGAAACGCGTGTAATATTTTTACCTATTCCCACTGTCATATCTACTTCGTTCAGTTTTTATCTACAACACTATAAAAGTTCGCAACCACTAGAGATTTTACTGAAATGGAAATTCTCGCTCTGCGAACAGAAGTTGGAATTTTTACCTATTTCACACCGAATTACTTCCCCTGACAGCGAAATAAACGCTGCGAATCTGCATTATTAAGACAAGACGTCTGGTTTTGTTCACGCTTCTGACACTTAACGAACGGGCAACGATGGGAGTGTTGAATTTACATTCATGAATAGTCTTCCGCTGCCAAATAAAGAACGGAATTGTATTTCGTCGAATAAATAAGTCACCAGTTTAAATATTTTGCACACCGCCAACCCTAGAAGGAGTCGCGAGCTCTGCGAAGATTGATGGGTTATTCCAGATAAGGCACTGGTAAATTCTTTGCCCAAAACAAGCTACCCGGTGAAGTCACACCTGTTTCACTTCTTCAATCGAATCTATGGTGGATATTCATTACAATCTCCATTCAGCATATTCGTCTAGGGTGCATCTATAAGCCATAAAAAGTCAGAGCGTAGAGGTATGCATATCAGAGCCTAGACACGTTTTTCATCTTTGTTCAATTAGTGGAAAGCAGAGGATAAAAGGTAAAACGTATGTTATGGTTGAATTGGATATTCACCAGTGTTTTCGACCACGTGTTTGCATGTGTTTGTCCGAAAGATATCGTTTTCATTGTGATGGTTATACCGGGTTTCCGAACAACAGCCACTTGCTCGCCACCCATTTTATATGGAATTTCGTCCAAGAGAAAGGTGATGGTGTTATAGGGTAGGTAGCACTGCTTTGTGGCGTCAGATGGTGTGAACTTTCCCTTGATATAAACGTAACTGTCTGCAATAACGATTATAAGATTTTGGAATTTTTTGAAATACCCATTGCGTTGATTCCTAGTTCCTTTTCTAGACATTCGTTCGTATTAAATAGCTCAAAAGTACGATCCAGTGAAGTCTTGATGATTTCTATTTTAGTGGATTGCTGGTGGTTGGATTCGTAATTCAGATACTGTTCCGTGTGAGTTTGTTTTCATTATACATATGTTTCCCATTTAGTGTCGGTCCTCTTCGCCAATACGTCGGAGAATTACAATTCGTTGTGGACTTCCTTCTCCATTGTGAAGGTGATGGAAGGTTTTACACTGCTCATGTGCTTCGGTGTCTAGTTCTGCATTTCCATGGTCCCATACTATGAAGGTGTCGTCAACTTATCTAATCCAGACTCGGAGCTTCTTGTGAGCTCCTTCAATGGCCAGAGTTTCAAACCACTTTATATATATGTTGGCTCATTTTGCGTAAAGAGTTCGTCCTTCAGCAGTTCCGTACACAGCATCCTAGTAATTCAATGATTACTTCTGTAGGTAAGTTATTTCTGTCTTCCAGGTCCTCTTCTTCGGCTAGTTTCCTCTGTATGATTTGAAGTACTTCTTCTTCAGGAACGTTGGTGTGAAGGCTTCCACGTCGAAACTGATTAATAGATCTTGCTCCGTGACTTCGATTGCCTTTGGTAATTCGACAATATCAGACAGAGGAAGTCCGACCTAGGAAAATTGATAATGATACATTGTCGACCACTTTTAAACAAAAGAAATTAAATTATTGAATATTACTTGATTCTGGAAGCAAGGGAAACGCGAATTCAGGTATTACGTTGAATTTATATTCATCTGAAATAAAATGGTATTTGCAGAATATTCGCATTATGATTTCATGAGAGCGTGATACACAGTTTCCTACTCTGGGGTGAACAAGATACCCGTCGTCTTACTAATTCAGGACCTCTCTACATTCTAGCGGCGGGAAGGCAATTTAGTGCTACCTTTCGAAATGTCACTATGCCATCCTTTCACTGATTCATGACTCCTCTTAGTTGTGCTGCCGTAGTTTGAAATGTTGAAATGCATGTATCGTGTTTGATCTGTTGTATGTTGAAGAAGAAAGCACGAAAATGATTTCCAGCAGGTAACGTGTTGTTACTACCTATTTAATGTCAACATTGTTACATCTAGCGTGGGTTCTCAATAAATTCGATAAGTCATAGTCATAACTGAACACTGAACTTTAATCACTTTTTATGATTATACCACTTATTTCACTAGTTCATGTCCCTCGTCGCTTGTTCGAACTAATCAGCCTGTCTTTGAAAAATATGCTCCATCTTATATAGGGTTCTTCATTATGCGCTTCCTATTTTTAAATTCGATTGAAACAAAGTGTGTGAGATATCATCGAATTGTTTTATTCGTTTGAAAGACTTATTGGATAACGTATTTAAAAAAAACTTTATTGTGAGATTTTCACTAAACAATTTTACAAAAACGCAACACGTGTTTCGCCATACAATGGCTCCTTCGGGCATGTCTTTACTAACAACATTCTACATATTCAATGCATAATACATCTAGTTTCACAATTAGAAGTACCTGATAACTGTAGAGTAGGGAGGGTGAGTGTAGACTCACAGCACTTAGGTCACATGTGACCCATTGTAGGTTCATCCTTTCGAGAAGTTGTCCTTCTAGGTCATCGTCCATCCTGTCCTTCCCAGGAAGGTGAACAGATCACCTTTATATTGGCAGGTGTAGGCCAAGACTCGCCGAACACCTTGATGTGTCTCACGGTGACCTCCGCGAAGGTTTTGGAAGGTGCAGCGATATTACTGTCGTTGCGCGGCTTCTTCAACCTTCTTGGGGAGCACAAGTGAGGGAGCTTTCCTGCAGGGGCAGTCGGTTCCTTGCCTTCATTCAAGGCGGAGCTCTTGGTCCCCGCCGCAAGAAGTGCCCTTGCTGCTGGAGGTGATCTGCTATGTCCAGCCTCTTTCCAAGTGGTAGATTGGGGTGGACATTTCTGTTTATCCTCAGCCACCGCCTCAGATTGGGGTGAGCACTTCTGTCCAGCCTCGGGATTGGTTTTTGTTGTTTCTTTTTTTGTGTTATTTCATTCATGTGTGTTCCCACGAGTAGCAAGGGAAGAGTTGGTTACCTCTGGCAGAGCCCCGCATTAGCAGAGGAAGGCTGATTACAATGAGGTTTTGCCTAGTAGTACCCCAAAGAGATCGTTCATGACCGCATATCATCCTGCAGCCATTTAGCTGTCGGCACGATTTCTTACACCTCAGCTTGGGTAGGTTGGTCCACTGTGATATGTTCTTCAAAGGCTTTTGGGGAGTTTTAGTTTTCCTCACCCTAATTATTTCTGACACTGACCAGGAGTCTGGCGACCCCGTCCTTAAGGCCACATTGGCTTCCCAGACAGGGCCTCCAGTCCCCTGGCCCTTCCCCTATCCGCCACATGGGGACGCGCCCTATAGGTAGCCCGGGAAGAAGTATCTATATTTCAAGTGCCTGATTTTGACCTGAGTTTATACTGAATTAAATTACCTGAGCTTGTGTTTCTCTTTCCACATTTGAAGAAATATTCAGTAATTGGGAGGTATTAAATTCTAAATGATCATGCAGTAAATTACCCTAATTCCTGAATCTATTAATTTCTGAACGTTCAAACTCTTTTCTTCTAAATATAACACGTCGTATTCATGATTGAACTCATGTCCTTCTGCTAAAAGGTGGTATGTAAATGTGGAATTGGTCTCTCTATTTACAAAAATCCTTCTATGCTCTTCAATTCTTTGGGAATATGTTCCCCTTGTTTAGCCAATATACAGTTTCGGGCAAGAGCCACAAGTCAGCCTATATAGGTATTCCTCATCTATCTTTCTCAAGCTGGAAATAATTTTGAGAGAGACAAAGAGTAAGTTAATCTTAAATTTCCTGTTTTATAAGTGGATTCACGTGTTTTTTGTCTTAGAGACATTCAACTAGTCCACTTGTTTCAATTGGAGGAATACTGAAAAATACATTTTGGACATCAAACAATATTAATTTTGCGTTATCAGAAAGAATTACGCTTTTAATATTATCCACTAATTGCTAAGAATCATTTATACTAAATTTCGGCTTGAAATTGGTATAGATTTAAATCAATTTTATGAGGATTTCTGAGACTTTTACAGTAGGTGCGTTACAAACGACACCACAGGTCTAATCAGGAAATTGGTTGGTGAGAAAATCAGTTTTTGGTGGTTGTGGATTCATGATCAATGCTCTACATTTATTCTTTCCAATCATGACCAATTCTATCATTTTTAGGGTTTCCTTAACCTTTTTCTGATACATAGTTGCAGGGTCATTCCTCAGAATCTCGTAGCTCCCCGAATTCTGAGATTCTGAGGAATCTCACTCGTCCAACTACCTACACCGTAGGTTCTGGCAAATGCCTGCTGGAAAACAACTACATCCCCGGCTAATATCACGCTGGATGTTGATTTATATCCGGCACACGTTTATGCATAAGTTCAAGATACCTGTTTTGAATAACATTTTCATAGGAAAGTTTGAAAAAATCCAGTCTAAAGCACTCAAAAACTTGATTGACTTATGTTATATTTATAATTTGGTAAAGAGGAAAATTGGAAATCATCAGATATAGAACGTTGGTTGAGTTTGGAAAAAGTTGCTCATTCAAGGGCCTATTTGAATAATGTTTTGAAATTTGGAGGATTCCAATTATTAAATTTGATTATCAGTGAAGTTGCCTCCAAGGAGGCCAACTTGTACCGGGTGATTTTTCCGGTCCATATTAATAATTAAAATTGGGCATCTGATCAAACGTCAGATTGAAATACTTGAACGCCA